TTATATTGAATATTACTTGAAAAAATTACTATTAATATCACTGCAGCATGTATGTATATAAGTCCTGTCATCTTTGGGGTATGTAAATCAGGAATGTTGCTGAAGAACTACTTAGCATTTTCTTGGGGGTGAAGTGCTTAGTTTTGGAATTTAATTGTAGGTTTTACATTTAAGCTGTTCAGTATTACTCTTCGAAAGGTTCTATAAATTTCTTGCTTTGTAGTTTAACAGGTTTAGTCACCACAGTTGAAAGGCATCATCCTCATAATGAAGCCAGAAAAGAATAAAGGTTGATCATGCAGGGCTGGCTGGCTGTGACATTGAACAATAGAGCTTGACTTCTTCATGTCTGTTAAATTAGACTATGGGGTGTGCTTATCTTGCTGCAATGATACTGAATTGTAACGAGAAAATGTTATGTTGTGCAGCTCTGCAAAGGGGGTGTGCATCTATTCTCACCTCGTGTGTATGGCAAAAGCTTTAAAACACTATTGAAACTGCTTAGTGGGCTTAAAGTCTAATGGCACAGAACTGGGCATAATAATAAAACAAAAATAAATAGAAAGTGCAAAGGCTTTTAAATATCTTGTACAATTTTATTTATAATGGTCTTTTAAGGGCCTAAGACAGGTCACAAGAAGGGTATGCTAGAAAAATTCCATTTTGAAGAGGTCTTTGAAGGAGGTAAGTGTTAAGGCCTGAAGGAAAAGTAAGAAGATATGTTGCATAGATGACTGACTTAATTCCAAATTTTTCTATGCTTGTACTTGATATGTACAACTTAATTCTTTAAATATTGATAAAATACCTACTATGATCCCAGCACCATGTTGGATTCCATAGGAGGCTTTGAAAGAGCATTAAATTCAGTCCTGTCTTGAGGAGTTTAGTATTTTTTGAGGAGACAGAAATGAAATCCATGAAATAATTTCTTAGAATTGTTGGATATGTGAATGACAGTATTGTAAGCTGTCAAGATCATTTAAAATTTTGATTCTGTTATTATATGTATCATTCCCAGATGTGTCACATGAGCTTTTGATTGGCATACCTTTTTATGTTTTTAAGTCACTGATAAAAATGTTGAAAAGTCAAGGCCATAGTTAGGTTAGGGGCAAGAAAGAGCCTTCTGACACTTCCCATACTTATTTTTCACACATGCTTTTTGTCTACTTTTGAACCTGCATTATTTTCTAAATGTGTATAAGCCACTAATTAGTAATCTGTTACAAAATGTTATCATGGATGTTAAGCTACTGTTCAAGTTATGTGTGTAAGAATCTGGATTAATATTCTAGTTCTTTCAGAGCAATTATCCTGCACATCCTGCCAGGTGATGGGAATAAATAAGGTGCCCATCACCCAGAGATTTCCTTTTTGGGAAAGTAATACCATGGGAGCTAACCAACGCCAAGCACCATGTACCCAGATCTTAACAAGCATAACTATAGCCACCAGTTATCTGGGCATATCACAAGATATCCAAGGAGGACTCAATTCCACAGCTTCACCTTAGCATTCGTAACTCCTTATGGTAAGGAGTCCATGCAACCCCCCAAGACACATTTTTGTCCCAAACTCAATTACAAGCTTCGAGTCAAAGCCCTAGGAAAGAAAACTGGATCTAAGGGATTCAGAGACAGATGATTATACAGGTTAAAAGGCACAGTGCAGGTGATCATGGCTAGTTTCTGCCAATTAAGCCAAGCCTCCCATTTCATGGATAAAGTTCATGCTAATATCCATGGCATAAATGAGGTCTAGGGAACTCCAAGGCTACTGACAGTAGCAGGGACAGAGACATAGGTGAAAGCAGATAATTCGTATTCTCTAGGCCCCCCCGCTTCATGAGTACAAACCACTTTGGCACCCATGGGTGGCACCTGTTGTGATCACCAGGACTCGGGGATGCAAGGATGGAAGAGGGAAAGAGGACACACTTCCTTCTTTCTCTCAGGTACCCCCCCTAGTATTTGCTAGGGAGAGAAGGGAACCAGGGACACCTGCTCCCCTCTTTCTAGATGAGTAGCTATTCATCTTCAGTTTGCATCCCTTTCAAATGCATCTTGAACCCCTGGGACTCACTTGAAAAATGCCCTCTTTTTTCTTTTCTCCTCCTCAGTTCTCTCTTCAGACAGGTAAATGTGTTTCTATACTATGGGGCACTCCCCTAAGATGCACCCTCCAAAGTGGGAAAAGTTAATTTCCCAAACCTTAAACTGGTTGGTTTAGGATTGGGCTCAGGGGAAGGGAACCTAGAAGCCCAACATGCTGTCAAAGTGGTAGTTATTTTTACCAGTTGGGCTTTTGGCTTTCCTTTTCACATGTAAACTGGTAAAAGGCCTCAGGATTTTTGAGATGTCTTTAGCTCCTCCTCTTATTTTATTTTGATACATGTTTTCTAATAACCCAGTTTGTCTCTTCTCACCTTCAGACCATCAGACTCCAAACAGGCATGCAGTTGAAGCCTCTGACAATGACCCCTACTCCTGGGTTAGATAGGCCTCTAACTGCTGTTTTCCCCAAAACAAGACCTCTTGAGCAGGAAGCAGTTAAGATCTGTCTTCATCCTTATCCTTATCCTTATTAGGATAAGTATATTTCTTTGGAGGGGGGAATGAGACAGCAAAGTATAAAGGGGTCCCCAGAGAACCTCTGACCAGGCTGCCTACTGGGAGGAATGCTCACTGGGGTAGAACCTTGGGAATTTTGCCTCATTTGCATGGGGGAGGAACCTGGCCTCTCCTGATCTGGGATATTAAGCTGGGATTCAATCTGTGAGGCAGGAAACCAGCTTAACAGGATTCTCACTTTGCTTGGAGTCCCTGTTTCCCATTTTTTCCTATTTTCTGAGTAAATTCCATGTTTCTCACCCTTCATAGTGTTTGCTAGGCTAGTCTTTCATGGTCCTGTGACAAGGACCTCGTTTTTAGCTGAACTAAGGAGAAAGTCTTATAACACGAGCACACGCGTGTGTGTATGTGTGTATATGTGTGTGTATTTCCCTTCTCCAAAATATCCAAACAGCATTTCCATTGTGAAAGTTGATGATACAATTTGGGCCATTTTTCATTTTTTCATTTGAGTCCTTCTTGTCATACCCAACTAAAAGAGTTGAGAAGCTATGGGGAAGAAGCACTCAGAACACATAACATTACCCTAAGAATGTAATTCTCTGTAAGCCTGACTGCTGAAAATGTTTGCTGTAACCTGAAACCAATTTTATCCAATGGCTTCTGAAACAACTCAGAGACTGACTTTAGTGACCACTGTCACTCATCAGTCAGAACTTGCCAGCTCCTCAGAACTTTACTGGTGACAGTGAACTTACTTAAAGAGCAATGTGTAACATCTCTCTTTTTCATACAACCTTCAACCTTCTCTTTGTTATTTGGACATACCTAGTCTGTGTGTATGCCCCAAATTGCAGTATTTTCTCCCCAAATGAAACTTTACATTTAGAGATCCATCTCTATATATTTTGACTTTGACACCATATTCCTGTTTCCTTTTTCTCTCTGATTTATCATGACAAACAAAAATACAGGATAGTACAAAATTAAGTGCTAAATTGATTATCATCAAATGAAAACCATCCAAACAAAGGCTATATATGTCAGGAATGGGAGAAATCAATGATGTCTCGAGGCAGGAGGAAGACGTCATTGTGTGAAGAGGAGACTGATTGAAAAATGACTAACCCCAAAGCAAGAGACACCTTCAAGATAAAGAGACTAAAGAAAGAATTGAAGATAACAGAATGCCCACAATTCTGTGTCCCTTTTAGACAAGAGTTCATATTGCTGAAATATGAGTAAGTACTGAAAATGCACAGATTTCTCCTCTTCTAAGCAGTATTTCTTCCTTACACATAAACATTCAAACATGTAAAAGTATCAAGAGGATACTAAGCTTGACATGTGACTAGTGGTGGGCGAGGACTGGGGATGGTGTGGGTCATTGTTAAAGGGGCATGAAAAGGCAGATGAAGCTCTAACTGACATTGAATGACTTCTTCCTGAGCACATCTGTTATTTGCTTGATGGTATTATAGAAGAAGCATGAAACAGCCTTTTTGCGGTTCTTAATCTCATAGGAGGTGGTGTTTACCTGAAAAAAGAGGATCTTGACAACATGATTCATCAATAAGTTGGCGTTCATGTTTGATTTGTGACTATTTGGGGAAAGTAAAATGCCTTAGTTGAAAGGTTGCAGGATCTGAATTTAAGTCAACAGATATTTATTTACTTTTTTAAATTTTTTTATTTTTTGAGACAGAGTATTGCTCTGTCACCCAGGCTGGAGTGCAGTGGTGCGATCTTGGCTCACAGCAACATTTGCCTCCCAGGTTCAAATGATTGTCCTGCCTCAGACACCCTGGTAGCCGGACTACAGGCATGTGCCACCATGCCCATCTAATTTTTTATATTTTTAGTAGAGATGGAGTTTCGCCATGTTGGCCAGGCTGGTCTCGAATTCTTGACCTCAGGTGATCCACCCATGTAGGCCTCCCAAAGTGCTGGGATTACAGGTGTGAGTCACCATACCTGTCAACAGATATCTATTGAATGCCAGTTATGTGTCAGGGTTCAGTTGTGTTGATTATTCACTCTCAGAGCTGCCCAGATTTGGTCTTTCCCTTAAATTCTTTTTTTTTTTTTTTTTTTAGATGAAATCTTGCTCTCTGGCCAGGCTGGAGTGCAGTGGCTCGATCTCGGCTCACTGCAATCTCTGCCTCCTGGGTTCAAGAGATTCCCCTGCCTCAGCCTCCCAAGTAGCTGGGACTACAGGTGCACACCACCATGCCCAACTATCTTTTCTTTTTTTTTTTTTTTTTGAGACAGAGTCTCGCCCTGTTGCCAAGGCTGGAATGTAGTGGTGCGATCTTGGCTCACTGCAACCTCTAACTCCTGTGTTTGAGCAATTCTCATGCCTCAGCCACCCAAGTAGCTGGAATTATAGGCATGTGCCACCAAGCCCAGCTAATTTTTGTATTTTTTGTAGAGACGGGGTTTTGCCATGTTGGCCAGGCTGGTGTCAAACTACTGGCCCCAAGTGATTGCCTGCCTCTGGCTCTCAAAGTGCTGGGATTACAGGTATGAGCCACCATGCCCGGCTTTTTCCCTTATATTCTTATTCACTTCAACAACCTAAGTTCTGACCCATTGGTCTCTGTCTCTGTCTTCCACCACTCTGTATACCTTGTGCTGTCACAGGGTTTGTGGTATCAAGGCAGGCGTCTCCGTCCAGCATTGAGGCCTTTTATCATCATAATCTTTCTATCTAAAGTTTATCTTCTGTCATTCCTCATTATACCCACAAGATCTGGCCATGCCTGTGTCGTTACCTTTGTTGTTAGATGTACACAAATTACGATTTATATCTGGGCTTTTTCTTATTCCTTTTCAATGTTAGCATTTAGGAATGCAGTCTATACTTGATTACCCAGGTGTTCTTTATTTAATGTAACTCATATTCCTGACAAGCTTATGTGAACAAAATTTTGGTACATCGTACCATTTAAGACAAGAGTAAATAATCAAGTTTAGTTTATCTTTGTTTACAGTTGGAGTTTTATTTAGTGGAGATATGGCGCATCTATATATTGCTTTGTTAATGTTCAGATAAGGAAACTGAGATTCCTAGTTGTTAAGAGATTTGGCATAGGGCTTTTGGCTAGGAAATAGAGAGAGTAGGATTAAAACTCCCATTTTATGACTCATCGTCTAGTATGCTTTTCACTAGAGTAGTTGATTCCTTTTATTCTCCTCATTTTATGTAATTCTTTTATAATATCCCTAAAGGTAAGAGTTGTGTTTTGTATCATAACCCCTCCTGCAAATATTCATAACATTAGTGGATACGGTAGTTTTGGATAAAGAGATTTAATTGCCATGTAGATGTATGTGAATGTATCAGTCATAATGGGATAGGTTATGTTGTAATAATAAACAGCCCACCCTCCAACCCCAGTGGCTTACAACACTAACATTTCTTAATTGTTGCATGTTTATCTTGGGTTTATTGTGGCTATGTTTCATGTTGTCTGCAATCTGTGACCTGGGTTCAATAAGCAACTTCTTGAATGCTTGTAGTGGATAGAAAGAGGGCATGGTGACCCACGTACTAGTTCTCAAACAATATTGTTTTCATATCTTATTGGCAAGAGCAATTTACATGGTGAAGCGTGTTGTCAGTAGGGCATAAAAGTATAATGCTTCTCTAGGTAGGGGCAGCAAATATTTTTGAAAAATAATATTCCCCCCGAAAAATCTGTGACCATACATACAGAGTGTTGAGCAACTTGTATTTTTCAGTTTATGGCACACTATCATCATTGGTCCGTGTCTGGCCACTTTATTTTTTAATTCTTCTATTTGTTTTAATGTGTTTTTATAAAATGCATTCTAGGCCGGGCGCGGTGGCTCAAGCCTGTAATCCCAGCACTTTGGGAGGCCGAGGCGGGTGGATCATGAGGTCAAGAGATCGAGACCATCCTGGTCAACATGGTGAAACCCCGTCTCTACTAAAAATACAAAAACATTAGCTGGGCATGGTGGTGCATGCCTGTAATCCCAGCTACTCAGGAGGCTGAGGCAGGAGAATTGCCTGAACC